ACCAGAGGGCGCCAGGTAGCCTTGTCAACCATCCCTCGGGTCTGACGGTGCTGCTGCTCAATGCCAGGTCGGTCAATAATAAATCTTCCCTCATCCATGACTTGATTGTGGATGAGGGGGCCGACCTGGCTTGCATAACGGAGACCTGGGCGGGAGAGGGAGGGGATGTTGCCCTCTCCCAATTGTGCCCGCCCGGGTATCTGGTTCAACACTGTTCACGCCCAGAAGGGAGGGGAGGGGGAGTCACGTTGGTTTACAGAGCCTCCATCTCTCTCACGGGTCTTCCGGTCCCTTTGAGACCAGGGCTGGAGTGCCTCTACTTGGTGTTGGGCGAACGAGACAGATTGGGGATTCTATTGGTGTACCGTGCACCTTTCTGCCCAGCAGTCTCCCTATCTGAGCTGACAGAGACCGTCTCGGACCTGGTGTTGAGGACCCCCAGGATGTTGGTCCTGGGGGACTTCAATCTCCATGCCGAGTCTGGACTGACCGGGGCGGCTCAGGACTTCATGGCCTCCATGACCGCCATGGGCCTGTCTCAACACATCATTGGCCCGACCCATGAACGTGGACACACTCTGGACCTGGTATTCACGACGGGGCAGGTAGAGGATGACCTGAGGGTGAAGAACTTATGTTTGACTCCCCTGTCATGGTCAGATCACCTCCTGGTGAGGTTTGTGCTCGAGAGCGGCCTCTCCCTCTATAAGAGTGCGGACCCGATTGTATGGGCCCGCCCCCGGAGCCGGATGGATCCGGAAGGATTCCTGAAGGCCCTGGGGGAGTTTCCGGCTGACAAGACTGGTGCTCCTGTCGAGGCTCTGGTCGAACTGTGGAACGGAGAGATGACCAGGGCTGTGGACACGATCGCTCCTAAGCGTCCTCTCCCACCGGGCAGAGTCCGCTCTTCCCCTTGGTATACACCTGAATTACGGGCGATGAAGTGAGTTGGGAGACGGCTAGAGCGTAGGTGGAGGAAATCACGGGATGAATCTGACCGAACACACTTGAGAGCCCACTATCGGGCCTATGCTGTGGCGGTGAAGGCGGCGAAAAAGAAGTTTTTTTCCGCTTCCATTGCCTCCTCACAATGCCGTCCCGCGGAGCTTTTTCGAGTGGTGCAAGGCCTGGTTCGCCCGGGTCCTAAGGAAGATCCGATGCCACCCTCCAAGGCCCGCTGTGACGACTTTGCCAGGCATTTCAGGGAGAAAATCGCTCAGATTCGTCACGAGCTGGACTCCACTAATGAATCAGAGGTCTCTGAGGAGTCGCCAATGCCACTGTCTGGTCCAAAATTATTGGAGGAATTTCAATTATTGCGGCCCAATGATGTGGACAAGGTGCTTGGAAGAGTACGTCCCACCACTTGCCTATTGGATCCTTGCCCGTCTTGGTTAATAAATAACTCCAAGCACGGGATTGGGACCTGGATCTTGGAAGTGGTTAACGCTTCTCTGAGGGAGGGTCGAGTGCCTGCCCCTTTAAAGGAGGCGGTAATACGACCGGTCCTGAAGAAAGCGTCACTGGATCCAGAGATGGCCACTAACTATAGACCTGTGGCCAACATCCCGTTTCTGGGCAAGGTGTTGGAGCAAGTGGTGGCGGGACAACTCCAAGCACTCTTGGATGAAACTGATTATCTGGATCCTTTTCAGTCCGGCTTCAGACCCGGGTACAGTACTGAATCTGCCTTGGTCGCCCTGTACGACGACCTGTGCAGGGAGAAGGACAGGGGGAGTACATCCCTGTTGGTTCTTCTGGACCTCTCGGCGGCTTTCGATACCATCGACCATGGTATCCTTCTGGATAGACTTGCGGGATTGGGGGTTGGAGGCACTGCTTTGCAGTGGTTCCGCTCCTATCTCGACGGTCGATTCCAGAAGGTAGTGCTGGGGGACCATGTCTCTATGTCATGGCAGCTATGCCATGGGGTACCACAGGGCTCCATTCTATCCCCTCTGCTATTTAACATCTATATGAAACCGCTGGGAGAGGTCATCAGGAGGTGTGGGCTGCAGAATCATCAATACGCTGATGATACCCAGCTCTACCTCTCGTTTTCCACTAATCCAGGTGAGGCAGTGGCTGTGCTGAACCGGTGCTTGGCCGAGGTAAGGGAATGGATGAGGGCCAATAAACTGAAACTCAACCCAGACAAGACGGAGGTCCTGTTGGTTGGCGGATCGGGTTTCGGAGAGGGTGGATTTGACCTGGTCCTGAATGGTGCAACACTCCCTCTTAGGGATAAGGTCCGCAGCCTAGGAGTACTCCTCGACCCAGAGCTTTCTTTGGAAGCTCAGGTGACAGCGGTAGCGAGGAACGCCTTCCTTCAGCTTCGGCTGATTAATCAGCTGCGCCCCTACCTGGAGTACGACTGCCTGGCGACGGTGACACACGCGCTGGTGACTTCCCGCCTAGACTTCTGTAACGCGCTTTACGTGGGGCTTCCCCTGAAGACAGTCCGAACACTTCAACTGGTGCAAAATAGAGCTGCCAGGTTGCTGACGGGGATGGGGCGTTATGCTCACATGACTCCAGTCCTCCGTCAGCTTCACTGGCTTCCCATTGAAGCCCGGGCCCAATTCAAGGTGTTGATTATGACCTATAAAGCCCTAAACGGCTTGGGTCCTGGCTACCTGAACGAGCGCTTACGTCCGTATATGCCCGACCGCCCTTTGAGATCTGCGGGAGAGTCCCTTCTCTGGGAATCCTCCATGAAAGAAATTAGGAGAGTAAGTACCCGGAGGAGGGCTTTCTCTGCGGTGGCGCCCAACCTATGGAATTCACTCCCCAAAGAGGTCCGCCTGGCACCGTCGTTACTGGTTTTTCGGCACCAGGTAAAGACCTTTTTATTTAAACATCATTTCAATTGTTAAAACATATGATCTGGCCAGGGCAACTTCTTCCTTCTCTTTCTCCTCCTATATTTTTATTTTATACTGATAATTTTAATTTTATATTTGTAAATCAATGTATTTTTTGTATTTTTATATTTAATGGTAATTTATTATGTACTATTGTATTTCAATGTATTTTATCATGTTGTAAGCCGCCCCGAGGTTTCGGCAAGGGGCGGCATAGAAATGTTATAATAATAATAATAATAATAATAATAATAATAATAATATTTCCCAACTCATAGAAAAGCCAGAGTGTGCTAACTCAGATATGAGCAGAATTATGTTTCACCTAGCAGTCTGGCGGGATAATAAAAAGGGGGAAAGCTGTACACAGAAAAACAAGGTATATCATCCCACCTCACTGCCTTGCCATCAACAGATCACAAAGGGTGCCTCAGTGTCTGGTGGTGAAGACCAAATGACCCCACTCCATTAGTGGGTAACTGTCAATTGCTATCTTTGTATTTTATGGGTTTGTCAAAGTGCCTCCTTGACCCTATAAAGTTCACAAATGTAAGCTTTTCTGGCAGGCCTGTTCAAGATAACTTTAGTTTAGAAGTCCTGTCAAAGGCATCTAATTAGAGTGAAATGTAACTTTTCTTTATGGTGTTGTGACGTGTATCCAATCACTTTTCTATCCATATCAAAGTATCCAATCACCTTCCTGTGTATTGTATTCACTCCCCTTTTGTGTATTCTATATAACCCTAAGGAAATTAACATGGGGGTGTTCCTATTTTAGGCACCCATGGACCCATGCATTCAATTGTAAATAAACCTGTTTGCCCTGACAAGAAACTGATTCCAAGCCTATATTGTGGATCGGTGTGACAATCTAATAAACATGATTTTTTCTTGGTTAAATACTGCTCCTCTCTTGTATTTGGAGATGTTATGGAGGCCTTTAAAAAATTTTAGTGTGCTTGTATGCATACCAGAATTCTTTTTGAATTCAGTCCCCTTTAGATCCCTGGTTTAGACATTATCTGAGAAAAGGAAGGCCTGTTTTAATTATTGTACACACATGTAAATTATTGCACACGAACACATAACATTAATGTACTACTTCCCTGCTTTGTTATCAACATCACACACAACCATGTATCAAGATTGTGTTTTGAGCTGCAACAATTCTACAGTGAAAGCCAATGTGGTGGAGTGGTTAGAATGCTGGGCCAGGCCTTGGGAGTTATGGGTACGAGTCCGCACTTGATAATGAAATGAGTTTGAGCCAGCAGAAACTACCTCATAGGGTTGTTGTTCGGGTAATATGGGGAAGAACAAGCAAGGCATCTTGAATTCTTTCCAAGGGCAGAAAAGGCAAGAAATAAATGTAATAACAAGTACAACGACATCTATTCTTTAAAAAGAAAGAAATGAAGCGTTAAAATCAGTTTTTTATTATACGTTGTTAAAAAGAAAAGAAAAGAAATAGCTACCCGTCCAAGAAGTTAGCTTGTGAACTCCTAATTTTCCTCTAAGTTTACTTCCTCCATCATAAGGACGAGAACAAGGCAAGTGGATACGCTAACGCCGTTTCCGCGAATGCACAAATCAACGTTATCGATGGCGGCGTGCAACGGCGGGGTATGTCTCCAAAACATGCCATGAGTTTCCGAAACACTTCCATTACTTTTATTATAACACAATATAAATTAAACGCACGTAATAACCGCCTCCCTTTCTGCTTGTTCCCTTGCCAACCAAGAGCGCGATCGGCCGCACGCTTCGGCGGAACACACTCCCGGCATGCCTTTTCTGTCTAAACGTGCTCCCCGTTGTGCCCTAAAAATTCCAGTCTTGTTCTAACACCCAGTCGGAGAGAGGCTCTCTCAGCGCAGTCCCTGAGGGAGTCTTTCCCGAGGTGCGCGGCCACGCGGGACGCAGGGCCACTTCCAAGCGCTGCAACGCGTGGCACATTCGCTCGCTACCCCCGGCACGTGAAAGGGCGCACTCGACTCGCATCTTGCCCGTGAACGCCAGGGCAGACCGGAAGCGACGTCACTACAGAATTCCCTATTACTGTGGGTACGTCTCGCGCTCGGGGAGCGTCGTAGAGCAAAGCCTATCGTTAGCGTTGAAAGGGGGCGGGAAGTGACGTCAGAGAGGAACCGGATATGAGAGGCGGTGTGGAGTGAGAGGTGGTGTTGGTGGCCTTATGAGGCGTCGCGTCAACATGGTGGATTACAGCGTCTGGGACCACATTGAGGTGTCCGACGATGAGGATGAGACTCATCCCAATATCGACACTCCCAGCCTCTTCCGATGGCGGCATCAGGTAAGGAAAGCGTCGCCCGTGTGCCTTCCTCCTGTGGTGTTTTTGCTTACCCCCTCGCATTCAGGCGTGGGTGGTGGGTATAGATAAGATTACGGGCCTGCCACTCTGTACGACTCCGGTGTGCCCGCAGCTGGAGTATTGTGTTCAGTTCTGGGCCCCTCATTACAAGAGGGATATAGCAAGGTTGGAATCAGTGCAGCGAAAGGCCGCTAGGATGGTGGCTGGTTTGCAGGGTAAGCCATATGAAGAGAGACTGAGGGAGCTGGGTCTTTTCAGACTTGAGAGGAGGAGACTCAGAGGGGATCTGTTAGCGACGTACAAGTACGAGGGGGTACCAGTAAGAGCCAGTGTGGTGTCGTGGTTAATTGCATGGGACTGGGACTCAGGTGATCCAGGTTCCAGTCCCCGCTCAGCCACGGAGCCAAGTGGGTGACTTTGGGCCAGTCACAGACTCTCAGCCCAACCTACCTCACAGGGTTGTTGTTGTGGGGATAAGATGAAGGAGGAGAATGATGTAAGCTGCCTTGAGCCCTTTGTAGGAAAAAGGCAGGATATAAATCAAAAAATAAAAATAAATAAAATAAATACTATGCAGATGTGTGACACTATCTTTTTTCCTCTGTAGTGGAGGGCAGGACACGTTCCAGTGGAGCAAAACTCAGGGAACCAAGATTTAGGGTGGATGCCAGGAAGTACTTCCTGACAGTTAGGTCTACTAGGGTATGGAATGTGCTTTCACAGGAGGTGGTCGAAACCCCAATGGTGAGGGTGTTCAAGGATAGGCTGGACATGCACATGGTAGGCATGTCATGAGTGGAAATGGCTGGAGCCAGGGGTCAGACTAGATGGCCCAGGAGGCCCCTTCTGACTCACTCTGTTTCTGTTTCTAGGACACAATATGCATAAATGTGCATGTGCAAGTTTGCATGTCCTCTGACATCTCTTTTTGTATGTACATTTAACCCAGTTTCCAGTGCAAAAATGAATGAATTAATAGGGGATTGGAGAGCATTCAATCTCAGGGAAAAAAGATTACACGAAAATACAAGTACGGATAGCAGGAGGTGACACACATGTGAGCAACAAGCCGGCTAATCCAGTACCATCAAATACAATGGTGATTATCAGGGCCCCTGTCCCTTTGTTTCCATGAGTGCCCATAGACCGCAAAGTGGGGCGGGTGGTATCCCAGAAATTTAGGCTTCCGGTCCTAATGGACATCTCCTTAATACTACTTCTGGTTTTGAGGTTTCTGGCTCCACTTTCATTGAGGATGGGCCTCCAGGGGTATGCACAAAACACAGGACTGTAATATAGGTAATGCAGTGACTTTCATTCTTGCAAAAGCAAGGGGTGTTCCTTTGCCAGGCCAAGCCAAATGCTGCCCTTTTGCTAAGACTTGGCCTGTGAAATTATGTTGTTCACCCCCTAACTTTTCCTTTGTCTCTCCCCTTATGCTCAGTAATTTTCATGCCAGAATATTTTCTTGCTTTATAATCCACCATTCTTGAGAGCCATTGGTAGAGTCCCTTAAATTTTCAGCAAGGAGGATTAAATACATAGAACTGAATGGAATTTGTCACATTCCTTTTATCTCCTTTCTTCTTTCTGTTGCTTCTCATATGAAGAGCTTTTAGCTCTTGATCTCTTTGGTCAAAACCTGTTGTAAAATATTGTGCTCTATAAATGTTTGCTCACTCTCCAGAGAGCTTAGGTTACTGGATAGTTTAAAAGTACAATTAATCATCCAATCAATCTGTAATGTCAAAAGTGAAACCTATTTTGCTAGAATTTTCACCGTGGCTATTTTTAGATATTTTAGATATCATCTTGGTTGTCAGGAACACTTCTGCAAACAGTGCACACTATTGCATGTTTATAGCTGTGGGCTTTAAGGCTGAGGTAGAAAGACTATCTGTTCCATATACGATGGGGCAGCAAAACTAGGATTGCTAGTTCTAGTGTATGTTGTATGCTGAGTGTATGCTGGAGAGCTAACTATAACCAATCTTGCACAGTTATACTTCTGTTCTTCAAGAACTTCTGCCTGAAAAAGTTTTCTGACATAGACATGACAGTTCCAATGGAAGTGGTAAATCTGTATCTGGACTGAACCATTTTAGGTGGTGACTTGCTTGATTAAATAGTCTTGCTGTTTTTCTGAGTGGAGGGAATAGATTTGTATGAAGGATTTGTTAATCTTATGAGCCCCCACTTTTGCAGTTTGAAGAGGAGTAGCCCAGACACAGAGTTACTGTTTTGTTGAGAACTAGGCCAGTGCCTTACTTGCGTATTTTATTTGTAGGGGTATGCTTAAGGTATATTCCTACAAAGAGTATCCTGTGAATCAGATCCTATATGAATCCCTAAATACTAAATGACTCATTGAAGCAGTTTGTGCCACCCAATCCTTATTTGTAAGTAATTTCCACTTGTATTTAGTGAGATTTGCACTTGAGCAAATTTAAGGTTGCAACCTTAAACCCAAAACTGTTGGTTCCAAACTTACAACTGGAACATACTTTCTTGTGTGTTTGTAACCCATGTGACTGAAAGCGTAAGCTTTTCTTTTCTTGCTTCACTGTACACAGTCCTAAATTACATGATTGGATAGCACTTGGAGGGTGAAGTCTGTAGTTAAGCCAGAATTCTTTTGTGAAAATATAGTCTCTCCCTTCCTCAAAGACATGAGTAGTACCATTCATTCATATACTTGTGTTATCTTTCCTTTCAGCCCTTGTCACTAGTTTCTTGCTAACAAGTTTTGGGATTAAATATGAAATCTCAGCAAGTTCATAATCTGTGTATGAAATAAGCATATGTATTTGGGCTATTTATTAGTACTATAGATGAGACTACGTATAAAACCTTTCGCAGCTTTTTTTCAGCTTTCACAGATATTTACATCAGGTATGATCTAAAAAGGAGCCCCCACCTTTTTTGGACTGGTGGGCCTGGCTGAGAATGTCATAGACACTATAATAAAATAGTTATGTTGTAACAGAGTTCTCTTCACAAATGGCTATGCAGTAAGCACAAGGCACTTGTTTCACAACCTGTGTGCCCATGTGAGGCCTAGAGGCATTCTGGAGAATAAAAATGAAGTTGGCAGGTCATTGCATGCCAGTTACTTCACTCTGCACCCACCCTAAGAGAATATCTGTGGGTTCATTGGCAACTGTGGACCTAAAAGCATGCAGGTGATAAAAGTGCTATATCCAGTACACTATATTTCAGAGTTGTGCTTCTGACACTGGCACAAGAAATGCAGTACAAAAACGGGAAGTTGGGGGCCTCTTAAAAACAACAGTTCAATATGGTGGATATTTTCCAACTTTCAGACTTCTCAGAATTAACAACCTAATACTGCTTTCTAAAAGATTTAGCTCTTGCATTTATGAAAACATGGCTGGTTTCCAATCAAATAAGTACTCAAAACCATGTCAGGCTACCTTAGTTGGCAAATGCCCCAAGCCTACTTGGGTTCTTGCTTTCTACCAGTTGTGGAAACATTCAATAATATCATCTATCCACATGGCAAAGATAAACAGATTGGGACCCAGAAAGGTCACTTAATGAACACTGCCCTGCATACTTTAAAGTGGATGTGTACAACCACATGGACTAGATACCAAAAGTGTGTGAGGAGGAGTTCAAGACTTTCTGGTCTCTCCTCATGTATCTACAGAAGACAATATAAGGAGGACTTATTCAAGAATCATATATGCTTGTCACTTACAAAGAAATAAGCAGACTAAATGAAAACAGTAAGAATAATACATGGCTTCCAAGGCTGCATCCTGCCAAAAATGCTCAGATCTTAGCTTAAACCATTTGTAACCTATGAGATCAAACAAGATAATCATCTTTTGTGACCTTCATTGGGAATTTATCCTAGTGGGATTAAAGTATATCTTTTACTGGACACATAAGCCTTGGTCTGTCTAAAGCTTCACAAATATGGATTCAACGTAAAAAGCAATTTTGGAGGGTTGTGAACAGACAGCCTGGGGGCCGTGTTGTTGCCAGTGCCAGTGATGCCACCCCAGTCTCTGCTATGAAGAATCAGATTCTCTGGTTTGGTGTTCCAGGCAGCATTGTAAGGGGAGCTTACAAAATGTAGCAACAAGCTGTACTTATTGGTGACTGGCATTCAAGAAGGTTCATCCTTACTGATCCACCTGCTTTTTCTGCTGTTTATTTGGGTGGTAGGGAAGGAATGGAGATACTAATTTGTGTATTTGGTGCATCCATTTTACAGCCTGTGAACAGTGACTGCTGCATCTGTGGCTGGCTGATCTCTTAGTTCAAAATGAATACACTGCTTTTGTACATCTATAAAGACAAAAGTTTTAAATATATATCCAGAAGCCCAGTGTCCAGCAACTGTGTGGAGAGAGGATTTTCCTCCCCCTTTTCTGTCAACAGGCATGAAAGGCCACACAAAATAGATTGCTTAGGGTTCTGCTGCAATTTTAAAAGAATCTAACAGAAGGATGTATGCCATTGGTCAGGGAGTCTGTGGAGCCCATGTCTCAACTGCAAGGTTGGGAGACAAGGTCATTGTCCCTAAACATATGTCCTTTGGTGCCCACTTAAAACCTGGCTATATAAGGCCTTTAGTTGAGAAATAACTCTTCTGTGGGTATGTTAATGCCATTCCTGTTGATCATTCTGTTTTTGATATTGTGAACTAAGTGCTGCTTTTACTGCTTCTTGGAATGTTTTTGCTCCTAGCATTTTATAAAAATGAGTTTTTTATGTTATTGGTTGAGGCATGTTTTCAAAAAAAGTTGGAGTAAGATGTATGTGCCAAGTCTTTTCATACTCGCTATGGTTTGTTCTGTGTTGGAGCTATCCCAGGGTATGTGCCAGTGAGAGAGCTGATGGCAGTAATGAGTCCTTGATTCAACAGAAACTGTTTTGTAGGCTCGAATCGACAGAATGGAACAATTCCATAAGGAGAAAGAGGAGGTAGAAAAAGGGTACCGAGAGTGCAGGAAGAAGCTAACTGAGTGTCAGAAGAAGATGAAAGAACTTGAATTGGCTGAAACAGAGGGCACCAAAAGTGAACTACCAAGGCTACAGGCTGAGGCAGAGCATCTCAAGAAAGAGGAAAAGAGCTGGGAAGAGAAAATGGAGGCACTCAGGAAGAAGGAAAAGAGCATGCCTTGGAATGTGGACACCCTTAGCAAAGATGGTTTCAGTAAGGTAAGTCTAGTTGTTCAATTTGAGCTGAACGTGTTTCCTGTTTTCTCAGGCTTGCTGAATTCACATTTATTTGTAACAGAATCCTTAATGTGCCTGACTGGTACATTGTTAGAAGAATTACATACCTTTTTCGGATAAGTTGTAGGACTTGTTTTTTCCCAGTCTGTCACAGTCCTGAAACTTACAATGGATGATAATTTCAAGAGCAAATACAGTAACCTTGTTCAGGACAATAAAACAGTTATTCTATTAGTTCATGGAGAAGCAATGTCATTTTGCAAATAAAATTGGCCAAAGGACCTTGAACCTAGTTCTGTAAAACTCTCTGTGGCCTTTAGTTTGTTTGCCTCAAATAGTGAGAAAAGTGACCCCCCCTACCCATCTCACCTTATAAATTGTTTTTGAAAGTGAGAGTTTTTTTAAAGGCAGGTTGACGTGACTTGAAAAGCCAACTGATCAGAGGAAAAGATAGATTTTCACTGTATCTGCTCAGTCCCCATGCCTAAACCCAAATAGGCTGTTTCAGTCCTGACCCTAACTTAACTGCATTCCTGAAGTGCTAGTCCAGGTAGGATGATGCCGTAGCTTTGTGTTAGGCATATCCTTAAGAGAAGGTATGGAGTTCAGAATAATTTGGACAGCTTCTAAGCGTCCTTCCCTGTGGCCTTGCAACTCCAATTCTGTTAGCCTGAAGTGTCTGATCCTGCCTAATCTTGGAAGCTGAGCAGGGTCAGGCCTAGTTAGAGTCTGGATGGGAAACTTGAGTCCTGCATTGAGCAGAGGTTTGGGTCTAATGGTCTTCTAGGCCCCTTTCAACTATATGACTCTATGAACTCTGCTGGCACACATAAAGAGCATATGCTTAGGCGGTTATGGAGAGTATAGGGAAGTATAAATTGTAGTAAACTGAACAGAGAGCTTAGGGTATTGGGTGGTTTAAAAGATATTAAATAAATAATAAAGTTGTGGGAATAGAAAAGGGCAAGGAGAAAGAGTAGAAGAAGCAGGAGGGGTACAGGAAGAAGAATTTCCAACTCCAATCTCCCAGAAAGGCTTAGAGGAAAGACTCTTTAGCAGATTGATTCTCCCTATTCCCCTTCTTTTATGGATGGAAAGTGGACTGTACAGATTTGCAAGTGATCAGCTTATTATCTCCCATGGTCCCTGATAACATCCCAAATAATGCTAGATCTCCCTGAATGATTGGAGAAAGAATGGGTGTTTCATCCTAGAAATAGCCTGGAACATACAAAAGAGCAAGTTTCCTTTGAAACTGTTAAGGTCCAGGGCATTTTGAGTCATTAGACTCTTTTTCAGAGGCAACCAAATTGATTTAATCAAAACATCATACAGTATAGCATGGCCATGGGCTAAAGACTCTGCAAAGCTGGTTTTGATCTTAAGAACGCAAGTTCAGTTGCCCTGATCCTTCTCAGGTTGTTTCCCTTCTGCATTTTTTGCTGGTGTGTTCCTTTATTTGGTCCAGAAATAGCCTTTGTGCACTGAATTAGTGCAGCTAACCCTGTCTGCTGTAAAATAACATTAATCAGCCTTCCTTTGCAATTTCAGAGTGTCTTCAATGTTAAGCCTGAGCTTCAAGAGGAGGAGTCTGAAGAACAGAAAGAAAAGAAGCACAAAACATTTGTGGAGAAGTATGAGAAGCAAATCAAACACTTTGGTAGGTCAGAGACCAAATGTGGTCTATAGAGGACCAGTTCTCTCATTTTGTATTAGTTTTCATCAGGGCTTTTTTTGTCATAGAACGCACCAGAACAGTGTTCCGGCACCGTTTTTTCCAATGGATTTTACGAAGTGATTTTGAATCGCCTGTCGGGCATAGCAGATCAGCAGCAAACAACATTAACATAGTGCCCCCTGGCTGCTTTTGTGTCTGCTATCTGATAGTGAGATAGTGAGGGCGCTGCTCAGCTTGGGACGCTGCTTCACTGCTCGGCTTGGGATTGGTGTGTGTGGTCGTGTGCTGAGTGCTTACTGCTAGCGGCGACGTGAGTTCCGGCACCTTTTTTTTTTTTTTTTTTTACAAAAAAAGCACTGGTTTTTATGAAATATTTCCCAAATTTGATCCCATAAGAATGTTTACAATTAATAGCTTTTTGAGGAAACTTTCACATGAAAATGTGCACTGATTAGAATATTTGGCTACAAGGGCTGACCCAAAGTTAGCCATAAAGGTGACATGTTCTGGGTCATACCCTGCCACCCCCAAATATATGTAACTAAAAAGTGCAGGGGAACATGAGGGAAAGAGGGTTTCTTTTTTTAAAGTCATATAATTGGGTTAGGGCCAAGTTGAGGAAGAAGAGTGTTAGCAAATCAACAGAATCATGTAGGTGATCCCTGTAGCCTCCATGCTGCAGCAGGAGGTAATTCGGTGTTTGCCTAGTAACTATCCACCTCTTCTTGGCATAGTCTACATGCCAGTAAAACTAGCTGTTGATAGCAGCACTGAGATGGCAGGAAGGGTCTGCCATATAACTGGCAGCATTTCTTCATCTGGGAATGTGAGCTTCTATTCTGGAAACAATATATTGCAGACATTTATCTGGCAATACATGGGCATGGGGATTTAATGTTTTATGAGCTGCTTCTGTGGAGCTCTTCTGGAACCAGCAGTAACAATATGTGGACTGTCTATCTAGCACTGAGTCACTCTAGTGGTTCCCTGCCTTTTTGGGTTATAAAGTCCTAAATGGAAGTGTTCTGACAGGATGGGCATACAGTTCTTTTGGGAGTCTATTCTGGATTAAATAAATTTCAGCATCTGTTTTGGTCTGTTTTCAATGGCCTAGAGTTCAGGGATCATAGATAACAGCCCCCAGAACAAGGCATTTCTGTGTTGTTTAGCAATGTAGAACTGAACTATTGAAAACCAACTGGCTCGCTCCTTGCTCAAATCATCTCAAGATTAAAAACTTTGTGTTGCTTAATCATGGAGGTAGAGTCATTCTATTCAGCAATACAGTGCTTGCTTCCGAGTGTGAGTTATAAATCTTGGCAAGAATCATGGAAACTTAGAATAATAGAGTTGGGAGGGGCCAATAAGGCCATCAGGTTCAACCCTTTGATCAGTGCAAGACTGTACAAGTTAAAACATTTCTGACAGATGGCTGCCCTGCTGTATTTTGAAGGTCTTCAGTGTGGGAGAGCCCACACCCTTCCTGGGTAATTGGTTCCATTGTCATATTGCTCTAACTGTCAGGAAGTTCTTCCTCATAATCATCTGGAATCTGACATTCCGTGGGTTGAGCCTTTTATTCCATGATAATCAAGAAGCATTCCCAGCCCTCCTCTGTATCATACCTTTCAATCACTTGAAGAGTGCTTCAAGTAATTGAAGAATCTCCTCTCGGTATTCTCAAGCCTAAGCATGCCCAGTTCTTTCAGTCATTCTTCATAGGGCTTTGCTTCCAGTCCTGTGTCCATCTTTTTGCCTTTCCCTGAACCTTTCCAGTTTGTCTGCCTCTGCCTTAAATTGTGGAGTCAAGAACTGGATGCAGTACTCAAGATGAGGCCTAACCAGGGCTGAGTAGAGAGGGCAACTAGTAATTCACATGCTTTGCAAGTGATGCTTCTATTAATGCAGGACAACATAGCATTTGCCTTTTTTGTAGCTACATCACAATATTCAACTGAGGCAGTTCCAAGATCCTTCTCACTAGCAGTATTGTTGAGCCAAGTATTTTTCATTTGGTAACTATGCATTTGGTTTCTTTTTCCTAGGTGCGGAATTAGGCATTTGTCTCATTTTCATTCTATTGGTTTCAGCCCAGTGCTCCAACCTATCAAGATCACTTTGAACTTTGTTTCAGTCCTCTAACAAACTGAATCTTTGTTTCAGACTTCTGAACTTTGTTTCAGTCTTCTAGCTAACCAACCCATTTGTTTCATCTGTAAATCTGATAAGTATTCTTTACACCTCCTCCTCCTAATTGTTAATAAAAAACTTGAAGAGCAGTCCCCCACTCATTACCTCTCCTCAGTTAGAAAAGATGCCAGTGCCGAGCCTGATTCTGTAGCCAACTGGATTCAACTGCTAGATGTTTGATCTAGTCTACTTTTAGCTAATCTGCTAGTCAGGAGATCATGGAGCACTTTGTCAAAAGCTTTGCTGAAGGCAAGGTATATATCTACAGCATTCCCATAATCCATCAGGGAGGTTACTCAGTTAAAACAAATGAAATCAAACTAGTCTGGCAATGTTTGTTTCTGACAAACTCATACTGCTTTCTGGTAATCACTGTATTGTTTTCAAGGTGCTTACAGACTGACTGCTTTATAATCTGATGTAAAATTTTCTCAGGGCTACTGTGAGACTGGGCTGTAGTTCCCAGGTTCCTCCTTTTTCACCTTTTCAAAATAGGGATAACTTTAGCCTTTCTCCAGTCATCTGGCTCTTCACCAAACCGTCATGATTTCTTAAAGATAACAGACAACAGTTCTGTGAATTCTTCTGCCCTTATTGCTCCAAGATGCAGTTCAGCAGGCCCTGGAGATTTGAACTTACTCAAAGTAATGAGATGTTGCTCGACCACTTTTCTGTTAATCTCCTGCCCCTTCAGCTTCTCTTTCACAACTGCCAGAGAGGTCATAGATCCTCTTTCGAGAGAAGATTGAGCAGAAGTGGAAATGGAACATGTCTGCATTTTCTTTATCATCTGTTATCGTTTTCACCCTCATTGCGTGGTTGAACCACTATTTCTTTTTGCTGTCTTTTAAGAGTGCAAATAATCCAACGACCCCCAGAATTTCAAAATAGTGGCGTTAGTTGTCTGTACCACACTGGAGTGCTCCTAAACAGGCCTTGCTGAAATGACCTGACATGGCTGGCATGTGACACTCAACTGACACTCTTCCCTCACTTTCTTCTATAGAAAAAGGATAGCTTTCCTTTCACTTGTTAGCTGCAGTTATTTGTTATATAAGAACCTGAACAAACTGTGGCTAGTGTTAACTATGGCTTAAGGGAGCAAGCCAAACTGGATGGTAAATCACAGCTTTCCCTAACGAGGTTATAGTTTCCATCAGCCCCAGCCACCATAGCCAGACTTCGGATTGAGGAGTCCAAAGCATCTGGAAAGATCCACTTCAGGGGAGGTTGCTCTAAATCATAGTTAACACAAACCATATTTTATCTGTTTTCAGAAATCATGGTTGGATTCAGACAACATTAGGAAAGGGTTGAGTATAGGTTGTTTTTGAAATGTGTGTTACGTTAGCTGAACCCAGCTCCACTTACCATGAACAACCCACAGTGGTTCATAGTCCAGTGACAATGTGTTTTCTTCATCAGTTGTTCCTGGATAACAAACTATGCTTTCTTGTATGCCTGGAATCAGACAGTATAAGAATCCATGTCTCAACAACAACCCATGATTTAATAAAATCCACATTCAGCCTTTGAGTGTAGATATTCACATTGTTTCATCCATTGTGATTTGTTGAAAACAGAAGCAAGAGCTCAGGAAAAGGGGAGACCAGGGTGTGTGAAAAGCAGAGAGAAAGAGCTGTTGCTGGAGCTGCTGGTACTCAACCACGCTCCTTCCTCCTTCCTTTTGTTTAGCGCAGTGCCTGAATGAAGCCTCTGTGTAGCAGAGATCAAAAATAACTTCTTGCATTGAGGGATGTGATTACCCAAACCACTCCTATGCCCTTTTTTTAGGATTGTTGTGGACTTTCTTCTGTTATTTAAGACCATAAAATAATTCTTAAATAAAGTAAACAATAAATAAATAAAGTAAAGTAAATAAAGTAAATCTAAACGGCTTGGGTCCTGGCTACCTGAACGAGCGCTTACATCCATATATGCCCGACCGCCCTTTGAGATCTGCGGGAGAGTCCCTTCTCCGGGAACCCTCCATGAAAGAAATTAGGAGAGTAAGTACCCGGAGGAGGGCTTTCTCTGCGGTGGCACCCAACCTATGGAATTCACTCCCCAAAGAGGTCCGCCTGGCACCGTCGTTACTGGTTTTTCGGCGCCAGGTAAAGACCTTTTTATTTAAACATTTTAATTGTTAAAACATATGATCTGGCCAGGGCAACTTCTTCTTCCTTCTCTTTCTCCTCCTGTATTTTTATTTACTTATTTTATACTGATAATTTTAATTTTATATTTGTAACTCAGTGTATTTTTTGTATTTTTGTATTTAATGGTAATTTATTATGTTCTATTGTATTTCAATGTTTTTTATTGTGTTGTAAGCCGCCCCGAGGTTTCGGCAAGGGGCGGCATAGAAATGTAATAATAATAATAATAATAATAAATAATAAAAAATATTCAGCTTATGTTAACACCCTTTTAGAAACCAGAAGCTTTGCTCAGTTTCTCATAGGCAATTTGCCTATGGTTTAAATATTTTAATACTGTTGTTAGCATAAAATCCAAGCTTCTTTAATACTTTCCTCTATACATGTTTCCAAGTCAAAATACCGTCCCCTCTGTCATTATTCCGTTGCCTCAATAGTTTCTCCTGCCAAGCTTAAGGTTATGTGCTGCATATTATAAAGCCACAAAATGCCAGCAGTTCTTTGGTGCTATGAATGATATCTCAAAATCCTAGACCAAATGCATGGTTGGGAAAATAGTTTCCTCTGCAGCTTCTGGGGATCATTTGATTTGATATTGCTGCTCTCCTGTTCCAAAGGAATGCTGCGGCGATGGGATGACAGCCAGAAATACCTGTCTGACAACCCGCATCTTGTGTGTGAGGAGACAGCCAATTACTTAGTCATCTGGTGTATTGATCTGGAAGTAGAAGAGGTGAGTGAGGCTCATAGCCTTTTCCACTGCAGCTTCCAGAAAAGCTGTAAGAATTACCAGGCATACATGTGACATCTGACTGCATTTCTGTACTGCCCCACAGCCATAGTTATATCTGGGCAGTTGGAGTGTCTGGAGGACAACAGTGGCATGCTGAGTACTGGCCTATCCTGTCTGGTCCCTAAATATTGTGTCATGTGTGTCCCCAAACATTGTGTGTCATTTCACAGTTCAGTGAAATTATTCTTGCCATTAGATAATGACACTCATGAGCATGTTTGTTTTATTGGGCAGTGTGTTTTGAGAAATGTTTACTGCAAGGTAGGGTGTGAAGGGCCTTTTTGTGACTGAGTGCAGATAATGATCTTGAACCTGGGATGCTGGTCATTAGTAGCAGTATATTTTGTGCAGTTTAATGTTTAGCTACTGTGTTTCCCTGAAAATAAGACACTGTCTTTTTTTTTTTTTTTTGGCTCACAAAAACACACTAGGTCTTATTTTCGGGATAGCTCTTATTTCGGGGAAACACGGTAATCTGCTTGCCATTTTCGGACCAATCGGAGATCCAACTTCTCTTTGCAGTAAGCTGTAAGATTCTTGCCGCACGAGTCCTCTATGATTCTTTTCTTGTACTCGACGGAATAGCTCTTTCTTTTTGCACTCCTCTTGTATGGTGGTCAAAATAATATTCTGTTTAAATCTACCATTAAATATGGTACCTTACCGTAATACTGTATGGGTAGAAGACTTACAAGACAGGAGTGAATGGCAAAGTTAAGAATAGGGTGATCAGGACAATCAGGGGTGCCGTACCTTCCCAAGAGCAATTTGGTAACCAATCGCTGGCCAGAATGAGCGAAGCACGCTTTCACTAGCAATTCCTCACAGGCGGAGTGCATTTGGTATCAATCCACCTGTGACAGGTGCTGGCGCTATAGAGGAAGCATCGGCTTATGCGGCTCTGCTCCCTTCGCTGCCTGGCTTCTCTATAGCTCCAACTCCTGTGGGCAGGTGCCAGGTGCTGACTGAAAAGTTTTTTGTTAATCATCAGTAATCATCATTTGCTAACTGCTATATCCCCGGCAACACTCTTTGTTAGCTCACTGTACCATGGAGGGAGCAGAGCCGCATAAGCTGGCTTCTGTCACAGACGGAGTACATTTGGTATCAATCCGCCTGTGACAGGAGCCAGCGCTATAGAGGAAGCATCGGCTTATGTGGCTCTGCTCCCTCCGCAGGGAGTGGAGGGAGCAGAGCTGCATAAGCATGTTTCCTCCACACAGTGCATTAAGTTAAAGTTAAGTTAAAAAATTAAGTTTAAAAAGGCTCTTTATGTTCCCCACTGGCCCTGGGAATAAACACAGGTAGGTCTTATTTTTGGGGTAGGTCTTATATTTTAGCAAGTACCAAAAATAGTACTAGGTCTTATTTTCAGGGAAACACGCTACCTCACAAAACAGCTGCTGTATTTCTTTTGCACTGAACAAATTGCACTGGTCTTGCTTTAATGGATTAATTTCCCCTGCCAGGGGAATTATGTCAGCTGTCATTTTGTGTCTGTATTGCTACAGTTGTGCTTTGCTGAGTCAGCCGGTGTCATCTCACAGCCAGCTCCATGCCTAGAAGAAGGCATTGGCTTTAGAGATAGCCCCATCAATGTTGTTGAAAAGCAGTGCTAATGTTAAAGTCCCGATGGCAGGAACTGACAGGTTGGCAGCGGCCAGGAAGGCAGCATGCCATAGCTTTGATAGTCACAGTTCTGGGCCAGCTGTTACCCTGTTCCTGTAGCCTCAATGTGAGAGAGACTTGGACTGATTTTATTTATTAAAATATTTATTGCCTGTCTTTTGTCTCAAGCAAGCCCCTCAAGGCACTGTATGAGAAGAAAAATTCTAAACAGCAAACCAGCTATAATTAGAATGTCACAGCAGAATTAACCCCACCTTAAAAACATTTAAAAGCTGAAGAGGACAAAGCTGTCCTCCTTACCTGCCTAAACTTGAGCAAATATAGGGGCCAGAGAGGGAATTCTGTAATGAAAAGGTCCTGTTCTATTTCCCTACTAGCATAGTTCACCAGTGTTTTACAGGTATGTTGATATGCAAATAATTTTGTTTCTGTTCCAGGCTCAGGTAGATGTAGTATTGAGAAGGAATGGTTTTGTGCTTTAAAACTTAATATGCTCCTCTGCCACCTTTTTCAGAAACATGCCCTAATGGAGCAGGTGGCTCATCAGACCATAGTTATGCAGTTCATCCTGGAACTGGCCAAGAGCTTGAAGGTTGACCCAAGAGCTTGTTTCAGGCAATTCTTCACTAAAATCAAGGTAAGAGAAGTCTTTCCTCAAACAGGAGTTCCCCTACTGGCTGACAAATATGACAGCGGCAGCAGAATAACACTAGGCTTTCCATTTCCATCGCAGCCTGTGATGATGGTGCTTGGTGTTCTGCAGTCTTGGTGAATGAGTCAAAATAGTCTGTGGTTGTGACCCAGATACTGAATGCAATTATGTTTGTGACCTGCATGACCTCGAAGTAGCCTTTTGCAATTCTTATCCAGATGATCTAATTCAACACATCTGGAGAGCTCCAGAATGTGGAAGCACATGCTACTTCCCTCCAAAGGTTCTCTTATGATCACTGAGATGGCTGGAGGCTGCCCTCTGAATCCTATGCAGGCAATTAGCCTACACCTCAAGGATCCTAGATTTATTTTGGTAGCTGTATCATGTTTACAAATTTACATTCCTCTGGAGGCTCACCAGAGTCTGTGTGTGAGTATATTTGATAAACATTTAGGCTTGAGTGGACATTTTATGGGTGAGTTAAGCAAGGGGTAAAGAGAAGTCACCTGGGACCTTGAAAAAAGACCAGAATGTCAGCTCAGCTTGTGCTTATATTATTAATACTGTGTTTCCCCCCTCTTTGATATCCTGCATCCCCATGTTCCATTCAGACTGCTGACCAGCAGTATATGGAGGGCTTTAATGATGAACTAGAATCCTTCAAAGAGAGGGTGCGAGGCCGGGCCAAGGCACGCATTGAAAGAGCCATGAAAGAGTATGAGGAAGAGGAGCGACAGAAGCGGCTGGGGCCTGGGGGCCTTGATCCAGTGGAAGTGTATGAATCACTCCCGTCTGTGAGTAACTGCAATTGTGAAACAGCTGCCACTTTTAGCTGCAGAAATGAGTAACCTGAAGTGATTCTTCTGTTCACTCTGTGCCTGTTTGTCTCTCTGTCTCTCTTACCCCAAGAGCTCAGGACTAGAGACTCTTGTGTAGGTAAAATTACCAGAATTTCTTTACTTATCTGGTGTGGCTGCCAGAACCCTTGATCTTAGTGCTTCACCCCAGAAAGCTGTTCCAAAGTCCTTGTTCAAGTTGGATCAGACTTACAGCATGGCTGTTCTGGTGGAGGTCCAGGTCTCCCTAACTATCAGATATGAATACATACACTTGCCACTTACTTGTTCCCTGTAGCACACTAGGGCGAGTGGCAACATCTGTCCTGGTTCTTGTGCAGAAATCTGTCTCTGCTCCACTGAAATACTTGTAAGTGGGGATGCCGAGGGTTGTTAAGTGGGGCCTCTAGTTGCAGAGCATGTGATCTGCCCCTGAGCTTTGGATAGCCTTTTCACTTTGTGTAATTTGGGATGTGCGAGCAGGGCTGTTCCCTGCTTCCCCCTCCACCCTCTCTGTGCTATGGCTGTGTTTGCACATCATGACAAGCCTTGCTACACAGTAGCTGCATGGCAGTGGAAGTCCTTTCTTTGCCTGAGTGCAAACTGGCAGGCAGCAGCCACTGCAGTAGGAACCGTGTGCCTTGATCTTTCCTGTGAATGGCAGAGCATATTCCAGCAGGCTCCATGGCTTGGAATCAGTCCCAGTGTGCACCACTTACCACAGCATCTGCCAGCCTCCCGTTGTCTGTGCACTCTGGTGGGCAGGCTGAGGCCAACCACATTTTTGTTTCTTTTGCTAAAGCTGCTGCTGCTCCGTGAAACCACCATCCACTCACAGGAGCAGACCAGCAGACCTTTGCTACTGTTGCTGCGCCCCTTGCCAGCATTCAGCTGCCCATACACCAGCGACTCTGCCCTCTGTCGTGGGGCAAGTGTCCCCCCTGACCCATGGAATTCATGCATGTGGCCAGGGGTCATCTCCTCCTCCTCCTGCAGCAGGTATGGAGGACAGCAACAGGAGGCACAGCAGAAGCTGTGAGCATCTCAGAGCAGGTGCCCTGTGGCCACTGTCAGAATGTAGCACCATGATCTGAGCGGTTTTTGTGAGGGGGACTGTGCTCCTGTTGTATGCCGCGGTTTTACGGATGAGACCAGAGACCAGTTGGAATTCTCGAGAGAAGGAGTTTATTTACCTGCCTGCAGGGACCATCACTTGTTAGAGTGCGGTCCTGAGCAGATCGGAGGCAGGATTTTTATACTCTTTTACACGGACGGCTATGCAGGTGCTTGAATAACAGTGAACAATAGGGGAAACCCACTGAGCTACATTCGCACATTTTTTTATGCTAAAGCAAGCAAGCGAGGGTACAAGGGCGTAACGTTATGCTAGAGCGTAGCAACAAAGGCTGCTTTGTGGTCAGCCTTGCGTAGCGTGCACATTCGTTGGGGTTCTTACGCGAACAGGACACTCTGATCATGCTTCTTACCCGTGACGAGCCATGCCCTAGCTGCATGTTCGATTAAGAGGGGGGTTACAACAGCTCCTATGTCTAACGCAACAGCAGCTTGTGGGCTGGGCACTGCTGAACACCAGAGTGGGACTGGGTGGGACGGCCACATGCCATGATGCCTGGTAGTCTGATGGTCCTGCTGCCACAGCTGGGCATTAGCTAGCAATGCTGCAGCCAGGGAGGGCACAGCAGCCAATTGCATCACTGCTGCCTGTGACTCAGCAGTTGCTAGAGAGTTTTGGCCAGCAGCAAGGGGGGAGGCAGGAGTATCTGCTACAGTCAAGCCTACTTTAAGCAGCATACTCTGTGGCAGACGCAGCAAAGCCAGGTGAGAAGGTGGTTTTCCAGTACACACTGGGCATGTGTGTCCATGGCAAAACACAGAAACTTTAGAACCGACTGTTGGTTGTCCGCATAATTTCATTGAAACTAAACATGCCACATTTTGTCACAGCAACTGGGTCCAGACATCACAACAATCTTCTCTCATGCAGTTTCTAACATAGTTTTCCATGAGCTCTGAATGCATCCTCTGTGTGTGTTCAGAGGAGGGATTCTTCCAAAGCATCTTTTTGGATGCTAAACTGTCAGCTGGAAGCAGGATGTGCTGTGGCACAGATGCCCTCACAGCAGCCAGTCTCGTAATAGGGTTCCTTGCTGGAGTGGGAACACCATTCTGCATTTGCAGTGGGGTGAAAAGGTATTGTTGGGAATACTTTGTTTGGGAAAATATTTTGGGCCAGTGACAGACTCTCAGCCCAACCTACCTCACAGGGTTGTTGTGGGGTTAAGATGGAGGAAGAGAATGATGTAAGCTGCCTTGAGCCCTTTGCAGGATAAAGGCAGGATATAAATCAATTGATCGATAGACAGACAGACAGATAAAATGGATAGCTCACTTAAGCAGATTATTTTCTAGGCTAACTATGCTACTTTCTCCTCTTCCTAGGAGCTACAGAAATGCTTTGATGTGAAAGATGTTCAGATGCTACAGGATGCTATCAGCAAAATGGATCCTACTGTGAGTATCCTCAGGGTTGGGTAAGGACTGGATTCCCTCTGAGTAATGATAGCTCCAGAAGATGCCCAGCTGTGTTTCAGAATATGCTCACATGCTTAAATGCATTGTTTGTCTCTGATCTATGGCTTGGAGATACTTGTTTACACCATCATAGCCAGTTATGCTAATTTCTTCAGCTGCTCCATCCCCATCAGCCCTTGTGTTCATCTGCACTAGAAATATTGTTCTGCAATACTTTAACCTATGGAATTTCTGCAAACTGGAATGGTCTTCTTACACTACTCAACTTTCCTGCTCCAATTAACTGCCTAGTATTATGCTTACATTTGGGTTTTAAGTTTTAAGAATTAGTAAATTACTGAAATAGCTGTATATTCTCCCCTTAGGAATTAAAACTTGTGCAATCTCTAATTTCTATTTGTAACCAAACAGTACCTTAACCATAGAACCACTGTGGAGGAATCTTGATCAATCCTTCTGTAATAGATCCATTCCTGTAGAAACTTTCCTTGTGCTTGTGAGGAACCTTTGCTTTTGGTGTGAGTGTATCTTACACATACTGCATCTTTTCCTGTAGCAGTTTATTCTGCAGATTCCTTAAAACCAGTTCCCTTAAGAATTGCTTAGGTTTCATTGTCCGTTTTTCTTTATTTTTGTAATCTTTTTTTCTCTTGGAAAATATCATACAGCATTCTGTTTTGTGATGAGGGAGGTCCCCTTATTTTGCCTCGAACTGATATTTATAGAATTTGTATTTCTACAGTTTACCTGTGATGTTAAAAAAGCTATATTGAATTGAAAAGCTTCCTTGCTTTGCAGGATTCATTTCTCATTTGACATTAGTATGTGTGTGGAGATGGTGTCATGCATTCATGCCCCACCTTTGGAATTGCAAGATTGCTACTTCATGTAATAGCTTAGATGTCCCTAGAGTTTTTGGTTCATACAGTATAATATTTTGTAACTTACATGCCCATTTTAAAGGGCCATACTTGGATATAATGGAGGCAAATAATGGGTTTGCACATTTACACTTTGCATAATCAACCTGTTGTGATCACCCTGTTCAGAGGTTGATTCATGGCATACAAACGTGGATTCTAGGAATTCCCTAGCATTGTTCGTCATCTAAAGAGCATCATGAATTAAGTCATGTGTTTTGTGTTCCATTGTAGGAAGCTAAATACCATATGCAGCGATGCATTGATTCTGGCTTATGGGTGCCAAATGCACGAACAGCAGATGGAGCAGAGAAGGGCGACAAGGCTGAAGGTGTCTATGAGGAGCTTAAAAGGGAGAGCAGTGAGGAAGACAAAGGAAACCCTTAAAGCTTTGGCCAGATGCCTGTAAAGCAGAAAACTCCTATCAACCACTGTCATTCTTCCTTCCTTTCACACCAAACTATTCAGCGATAATGTGCTTTATACATTTAGACACTTCTTGAATTGTATGAGCTGCTTCTTGACTGGCTCTCTTGCTTACCGCATCACCACACACCCCCACACCCTGAGGTCCTGCAGCATTGTCACCCGTTGGAAGTCAACATCTTAGGTGAAGTCATGCAGTATTGTGCAAGCTCACGGGGGCTTGGCACGGCTGTGGTAATCATGCCAGTCAGTGTCGTAGTTACAAATATGCTGTTATATCTTTTTGTTTGGCAACCAGTTAAAGCTATTGAGCAAATAAAAAGATTGAAATAGCTGAGAATGGAATGGAGTTGATGGCTGCAAAGTGTCTCTTTACCAGAAAATCAAACCATTTATTTTGTTGCTATTTAGTTCCAGTTCAAGATTGACTGCAAGTAGGAGGAGATAAGGTTTTGGCCCAGTAGTAGAGCATGTACTTTGCATGTGGAAAGTCCAGCCTGGAAGGGAAGACAGCTGAGACCTTAAGACAGCTGCTCGGCATTCATGGTAGAGAGCACTGATTTAGCTAGACCTGTGCATACGAGTCTCTTTGGGTCAATAAGGGCTTCTTAAGGGAAGATCTGGGACGTATCACCGACATTTCACATCTGATGTGCAAAGTGGGGTGGGACAAACCATTTTTCCACATACTTTCCAGTCTTAAAACTTCCTGCTTCAGAATCTCGACTCCAGGAGTCTGCTTCACGTCACTTTGCCAGGGACCCCACAGGCAGCACTGCCAGATCCTGTCTGAGAGAAAGATTACTTTGGCTGGGTTGGAATGACATGCCACAGCCTGTCGTGTACCATAGCAACTATGGTGACAAACTGAAAATTGCTACTCTTGCAGTGGGGATAGTCATACTGTGCAAAATTCCAGTGACTTAGACCACATAACAGAACACTAGCTATGCTGGTTCTCTTGCAGTCACAGGACCCACCATTTCTGCAATTGGACTTCGGTATATCTAAAAAAATAACCTTGGAAATGATCTTTCCTACATCAGGAGAGGTAGGCTGAGCTCCTGGCCATCATTTCTGATTATTAGAAGCACCAAAATGTAGTGTCTGGATCTCACAGAACCTGCTGATTACCCAGTTGGATACTGCCTGTTGTATACCATCTTGGATGTGTTTCTGAAGAGGTATTATGAATACATCATGGATCAACTTGCTGCAAAGCTGCAGTCTTTCTAGAATAGTCCTACTCAACGTTCCAGGAATTTCTTAAGAGTTAAATGCTCTTTAAGAAAATACAGTTAAGTACAGTTCAAGTATTGCTTGGTGGATGGGTCTTGGTAGAGGTGTTCCCTAGGGTGAGTTTTCTTACCAGAAAGTTAAGTTGCAGTTTGTGCTTGGGAGCACTTGTGCAAGCATTTGTTTGGTTCAGATCTTGTGAGATATGCTGGAGCTGAAGAGAAGCCCTCTAGAACAGGAAGAGATTCTTGTACAGGAAACTAGGACTTTGTGGTTTGAAAGATGTGTACCCCTGTTTGCAACATGAGTACTTCAGCTAGGAACAAAAGTGTGATGACTTAGCAGTGGTTCCCAACCTTTTCTATGTCCTGCAACCCTAGAAAATGTTTATATTCGCACTCCCTACTAAAGTAATACCACATTAGAAGATCAAGTCAAATTTCCAAATTTTGAACCACATACAGTACTGCAGGTAAATTGGAACTCCAAAAATAAGCTTTTAACTCAGTGCATAAAATTCAAACATAAATTGAGCCAAACTGGGGAAAAAATAAAAATCACAATTTGTCAATTTTAGTGAATTGTGAGACAGCCTTCCTCTTTGTCAGAACCTCTGAAAAGCCATCTTGCACTCCTTGGGGGTACAGGCACCCCAGGTTGGGAACCCCTGATTTAGAACGTTATGAGGGTGTTCCTTTGTATTTGGGTAAGTTTTGGAAGAGTGGGGGGGTAGAGCAGGGGGTGAGTGAGGTGACTGAGATTGTGTGGACGGAGCTTGGAAGCGTGTGAGGAGAGAAATAGTACTCTGTCAGCACTTGTCTGTCAGCAGATTCTAAAGAGGCAGCCTTCTCATTAGAATCTCATAGAGTATTGTGCAAATTAAGATTCTAAAGAAGGAAGATGAATATTTGGAGGACATATTAACGACTACGGAGAGTCAACCTATTGTCAAATATTATAAGGGTGTGAGTGATTGAAGCTGTCAGAAACCTGAGTGCAGGAGACAAAGGATTTATGAGTGAGGTGTGATTGTGAAGGGAAAGTGAGATACTACAGTCAGAATACTGAGGTTTACTAAGGAAATAAGTTATTGACATCTTGAAACCAATACTCTTATTGTACAGATAAAATTTTGTTTTATTAACTCAGAGTTCTAGGCTGTTCGGTCTCATATTAAGGATCACATAGTCTAACGAAGGAGCCTTATAGCTTGTATACAGTAGTGAGGGAGAGGTTAATAAGACTGGAATTAAATTCATGGTGGCAGAATACGTGTGTGCGTGTGAGTGTATCTGTGAATTAGTTTACTAATACCTGCTGGCATTTCCTATGCAAAGTCATGAATACGAGACGGCTGACAGGCAAAAAGTAGGAGATGTAAATATTGTAATAATTATCAGGACACTGAGATCCTAGCAATGGTCAGAACTAGAGCTGTAGACTTGACTTAAAGAATGCAGAACATATAGGAGAAAAAAGCTAAAATTGTGGTCTCCCAGAACAGGGAGGCAGGGTTCACGTGTCTTGGCAAGCATCTCTGTGTTGTTTCCATGGTGTGTGGCTTTTTGGATGGGTGTGCCTGATAGAAGATTATTTCTAAGCATGGTTTCCATCCATCTTGCTCAGTCCTCCTGTCAGCATGTATCCCATCAGCCACCATGCCTGAAATTCAATCCCACATAGGATGATTGGAGCAGCTGCTGCTCTTTCCAGGGGACTTTGGTAGCAACACAGAAACAGCAGTGCTAGGTTTGGACAATCAGTGAAGCTATGATGAGTTTGGAAACAATAGGACAATCCATTGTCGTTACGGTTTTAAAAAACCAAGCATACCATGTTGAAATACTATGACAGGACTTGGAGGACACAGCAGCGCATCCTGCACAAGAAACCATTGTGGCTTGTGTCACACAAACCTGTCCCATGTCTTAACAGGTACTTTTCTGCACTACTGTATACTCTCATACACACCACACTGCCATATCTAAGTAAAAATGCATAGTTGTCAGTCAGAAAGAACTTTCAGAGCCTAAACAAGAACTAAACAAAGCAGAAAACCAAATCTTTTAAAAATATACCCTACCTTTCCTTCTGGGAGTCTTTCAACAAAATTCTCTCAATTTACAATGTAAATACCACAAGAGGAAAATTATAAATGCACCTTAGTTTTTCAAGCTTGGCAAAGAAACCGACACAAGAAAGTGGATATTGCAGAAGCATGCAGAAGAGCTGAGTGAGTGAGATGCTAACAACACAGGCATTGTAATGTCTGAGAAGTGACAATGGGGATTCCATTTGGGGCAAGGATGAGGCTTTCCACTAAATCTTTTCAAGAGTAATCTAGAGATAATGTGTGAATAGAGGGAAGACATGCCAAGATGCATGATGCAACCAAGAAAGGGGACCCATGCAAAAGCGTATTTTGGAGTGATGTGGTGGCACAGTAGGTTAAACTGCTGAGCTGCTGGGGTGCTTGACTGGGTCGACAGTTCAAATCTACAGATGGGATGAGCTCCCATACCCTTTCCCAGTTTGAAAGCATGCAAATGCAAGTAGATAAAAAGGTACCACTTCGGTGGGAAGGTAACAGTGTTCCATGCACTTCGGTATTTAGTCATGCCGGCCACATGACCACAGAGACTGTGCGGACAAACACTGGCTCCCTCGGCTAGGAAATGGAAGTGAGCATCGCCCCCTAGAGTCAGGCATGACTGGACTTTAATGTCAGGGGAAACCTTAACTTTTTAAACTATAAAAGCTTTGTTCTAATATATCAGGGCTGTCCCATGGAGTTCATTCTATGCACGTGCATAATCAGTAATGTCTTGCACACTATCTTCTTAATAAATATTGCTGGCTTGCCTTTTCCAAGCTACTTGGCCTGTTTCCTGCAGCATCTGACAATGCCAAACATTAAAACACAAAACAGCAGAAAGTAACAGAGCAGCAGTCACAATATTTAAAAAGTAAAAATGAAAAACAGTAAGTTATATAAACATATTGAGCCCTTAAAAAAAATCCTAACATTTGGTCAAGAACCCTTGGTATTTCTCTGTAACCATTACTTGTTCTTATTTTTCTTTCTTTCTCCTTTTTAAACTACTGTAATTAAAAGTAAGAAAAAAATGAAAAGGGAAGGTCTTCACCTTCCAAATGCAGAAGTGAAATGGAACCAATTCCTGCAAAGGGTTGTGGAGAATGGAGCCAGCTCATATTGGACCCAGATCCTCAGACACTTTGCCTGAGGGGAAAGCAAGTTGAGGGAGCTCCTGAGACTAGTGACTGGAGTCAAGCTGGGGCATCCCTTCCCAAGGGTTATCTATAAAGGCCCATGTACATTTTCAGGATCACTGTTCTTGGATGGCTGGATTTACATGGAGAAACAGCCACATTGTGCCAGTGCAATGGCCTAGTTTTAGTGTTATTGAGGTTGTTTCACCCTCACATAATCTCTGCCACCCAGGTTCACATGACACAGCAAGCTAGGCAGCCTGCAGATTTGGCAATGATAGGCACCCATCACAATAAAACAGGCTCTGAAGGTAAATAAACCCATGGCAGGCTGTCATGGTTTGTGAACAGCCCACCGGCAGTTCAAGCTTTCCTAGAAAGAGATTCAGGAAGGCTCCTGTTCTAGCTGTTGCTTTTCATTTTCTCTTGGAGTTGTGTGCACCCTTAGGAGTTTTATAGGTGCTCAGAAGTGGTAAAGTATCTAAGTCTATTGGTGCCTAGAGATATTTAGCAAAAGGTTAAACTCAATATAAGTGAATTGTTGATCAGAATAGATTTTGATTTGGAATTATGGCATCACTTTATTTAAGTAATTAGACTGAGGTTAAAATATTTAAGATTAATGTCTTGCCACAGGTAATTTATGTACAGTGGTACCTTGGCTCATGAACTTAATCCATTCACTGACTCTGGTTGCAACCCAAACTGGTCGTGAGCCAAGTCAAATTTCCGCATAAGGTTCAATGTAAATAAGGTTAATCCGTTTGGTAACCTTTTTTTTTTTTAATCACAAAAATGTGAAACTAAGTGACAAAGAACAACAAACTAACAGAGATCACAGCCATCTCCCCCTCTGAGCACGACCACAATTGCACCCACATT